TAGCACACTGTGCGTTAGGGATCAGTGTCAAGTGTCATCCCATATAGGCACAAAACGAAAATCCACAAAAGTAAGAACACACAAAAGACTCAGTTCAAGCTCCTCACACACATGAAGCAAACATGAAAAGTCCAAAACACACAACACACTCGAAGGGGCGACGAGTACAGACTACTCGACGCCTAGATCATCGTAGGTGATGTCCTCCATGAACGCATCATTACCAGACGACTGGGTGGAAGGAGGAGTCCTCCCACGGAGTCCTCCAAACTGGCAGCTCGCCCGGTATCAGTTGGAGCAGGTTCTGCTGGACCTCCTGCATCCGATGAGCCCGGTTGCGCTCCCGCTCAATGTGAGCAAGGGTGACCCTCTGTGGGGCCTCCATGCGGTCGAGGCCCTCATCATATGCACCCATCGGGGTGGTATACTTGGCCTGGTGAGCCGACACTGCTGCTGGAACTGGAGCTGATGCTCGTGGATCTGCTGTTCTAAGAACTCAGCAGCTGGAACTGGTGAGAGAAGTAGTCATGGGATGGAAACGCAAAGCTACCACCCCCATGCTCAAAGTTGCTCTGGTAGGGAGCGGGGTGGTCGGCAGCAGCGTCGACATCCTCCGGGGCAACATCCTCAGGGGCAGAGGCCTGAACATCCGCATGGGGGTTAGGAATGTGGAGGGGGTTCAGGAAGGCCTTCAATCCACTTGACACCGTGGGAGACCCGCAACAAGCGCATCTTCGAAACCGTGTCCTCTCCGAACAACCAGGTGCCATCCTGCTCTGTGCAATCCTGATAGGGGATCTGGAAATGGTCGGACAGCAGGGTGATGAGTGGGGTACAATGGAGGGTCCCTAGAGTCTGCGCACTCTTGTCGATAGTCCTCGCCACCACAGATCCCAGGTGAAGGTTATTGTGGTGAGTGTAGATCAAGTGGATGAAGTAGAGGGACCGCTTGGTCAGGGTGCTGGCATTGTCGCTAGCCGGAGTATAAGACTTCGTGAGCAGGTGGTGGAACAGGCAATTCTCTATCTGCAGAGTGATGTCCTTCGTCGACCAAGAGTGAAGGGGTCCTGAGCGGGCAGAGCTAGCTGGTTGTATAGAGCTGAGAAGGAAACAGCGGCTGGCTTAACGACCTTGGTGACATACTCATCGCCAGCGTCCATGTCAAGGTCGAAGGCGACAGCAAAGTCGTGGTAGCTCATGGAGCGAGGTTCACCGTGGTCGCGCTGTCTTGCCAGTCAGTGGTCTCGGTGTGCACAAAGGTGGTGTAGAACTCTAGCACCAGCTTGTAGTAGACCTTCTCGTGCACATTCAACAAGCGGTGCCATGCTCGGTTGCGAGAAACAGCAAGGAAGGCGTCGTAGCAATTCAGCTTGTGAAATTCCCTCTTGCTCCAAGAGTGATGCTTCGCAAACTTAGAAGCCAGGACGCGCTTGAACCGATCATTGTGGGCGCCCGTCCTCAAATCACTGATGAACCGATCCTTAAGGTTTGGCTTTGACATGTTCCTGCAAGAAAGTGAACCAAAGTGGAGCCAAGAGAGCTATAGGAAAGGTCAATCACATGAAGTTGGTTTTTTGAAAAACCGACAATAAATGGAGGAAAATCGCCAAAAGTGAGAAAAAGTGCGGTTTCCCGGCGAGGGGGAGAGTCTCTGGCGAGTGGTTGTGAATTTATAGCGTCACACGTGACCCCTTTTTAGAGGCGCACGGGCCACCACACGGGCAGGGCACACGGCCGTGTGGGTGCAATGCCTGCCCGTGTGCGGCCGAGAAATTCACACGGCCATGCGAGGAGCCATTTTTCCAGTGCAAGAATTCCAGGGGCTATACACAGCCAAAGGCGATTTCTACGCAGCTGATAGACCAATAATTACTCATGTTTATATCTCCATTCTTGAGCCGTTTGAGAGTGGATTCTCGTGTTTTAAGCCGATTTCATGCTAGGTTGTGTGTTTATGTCATATTTTAGGACTTAGTGTTGACGTGAAGGCGAGGAAACGAGTTTTGAGTCAAAAGGAGAACGTTTGAGTAGAAGGGCGCTGGAGGAGCAAAATACCCGGCCAGTAGTGAAAATACCCGGCCGGGTAAAATGCAATGGGAGGGCGGGGAAAGCTGATTTTGGATGCCAAGAAGCAGGAGGGGTCCCGGCCAGAGAGCAAATTCACTATTTTGTCGAGGAGTCAATTCACTATTTTGTACCGGATTTACTTCGATGGAGGAGGTTTGGTTCGTTTGGGCCTCAATCTATTTACTCCGGTGGAGGTTAGTCGCCCGCTGGGGACTCAGATTGAGAGGGTCTGGAGACCTTTAGTAGAGACTGCAGACTGTTTAAGAACCTCCCGCAGTATAACTATCATTGAACTTGAACTTGGTAAATTACAACCTGGTTTAACTGCAGTCTAGGGGGAACCATGTTCGGGTGACCTCTCTCAACTTGAACACAACTTTCACTGCTTTGCTTGCTAGTTTAACTAACCCTTCTAAATAGGTTAATTTAGAGCAAACCTCAATATTGGAAAGTCTCAAGATTCAAAACCGGCAATAGTCGCAATGTCAAGCACAATTCACATTTATTGCAAAATATGTCTAAGAGTTAGAATCCAAAAGTCAATCCTCTATGACTCCTCTTTGCAGTCGACATATCAAACCTCACATCCTAGTTCTCTTTGTTCTTTATCGTTTGTAAATAATGATGATCTTGCTTGCGTTTAACGCTTATGATGGAGTTTGTCTTTAATATTTAGTACACTTTTTTCATTGAAGTTATGGCAAATACCACTAGAAAACCTGAACTAGGAAGAATGTGTCATTTGTGTCCTAAAGTATCCAATATGACATTTGTGTCCTAAACTATTTTTCCGTTAAAGTTGACCGGCGTTGACCGTTAATTTTAACAAAAAATCTAGTCAGTGCTGATATGGCATATGACGTGAAATTTTTATTAATTTATTATATTTATTTTTTCATAAAAATGAATAAACTTACAAAAGAAAATTAAAAGAATTTTTTTAAAAAAATGGGATCTGAAGATTTGCATCTCCGGGGAATAACCCTATTCACAATCATCTTTATATCCCAAAATCCTTCGCACTCCAGCAACCCGGTCACCCGATCGGCGTCGCGCAGGCTCGTAATGTCCGGAGTCGTCGCCAGCACAACCTCGTGCTGGTGTGATAGCCGTGATGAACCCAGTCTCGATTCTGGCGGGACAGTCGATGGTGCGGGCAGCTGCTTCTTCGATTGGGTCATTGGATTTGGGGGTTTACTTGGTTTCAATGGAATGGAGGTGGAGGAAGACACAGAGAAGCTAGCGGAGTAAGGAACGCAAGGGGAAGAGGAGCAGCTGGGCTGGAGCGCCTTTGTTGCTGCTGGTTTCTTCGCAGCGGAAGTAGACTGGAGCGGCGCCTTCGTCTCTTACTCAACTGGATCTATCGGCGCTCATCGTCGACAATTTTGCGGCAGCGGGTTATGATCGAGCTGACTTCATATCCATTGTCTGGCGTTTAAGGTGATTTGGGATATTTTCCTGGTGGATGTTGAAAATGAAACGCAGATCTAGATCTGTAGTGGTGTAACCAGAAGAACGGAAGGTGGAAGGGATTTTTCGATCTGGGAAATCTTTTAGGGAGAGAGAGGTGAATCGGCATTCGGTTTGGGACCTTCAGCTTGCGTCGATGATGATGATCTCCTTCGCTGGGTCGTCAAAAGAAATATTGAGAGGAAAGTTTGTAGGTTGCAGGCAGAGAAGGGTGATTCTGATTTGTTTTTTAACATTTTAATTAATTGGGAAAATAAATTCTTAATAATATTTTAAACTACACATATTGATGATATGGCAAATAATATGATGTGTCTGCTTACGTGGCATTTACGTATATGCCCCGTCACCAATGGTCAACATTTTTATATTGACCGTTTGGTCAACCGTTATCTATAACGGTCAACGAAATCTTCAGGACATAAATGACACCCAACTATCATACGTTAGGATACAAATGTCATATTGGATACTTTATGACACAAATGACACATTCTTAATAGGTCGGGTTTTCTAGTGGTATTAGCCCTTGAAGTTATGTTTGTGTATTACAAGTGGTTAGTAAATACTCCGTTTAATACACGTATATGTAACCGTACATACTTTATCCGTTTAAAACTTCCGTATTCGGATTATTGTCAAGCCGTTTCATTTTTCCCCGTTCATTTGATAGCTCCCATACTAAACACGTATATAACCCGTATAACATGTTTAATATCCGTATTTAATGAATTAACTTGTCAACTTTACAAATATTTATATATCTAATTATTATTAAAATAATTAATTTAATTTATTTATGACTATTAACGTACTGGTAAACGTAACATTAGCTTATAGATGAAGTAAAATACCCGTACATATTTTATACATAACTTTCCCGTAGCGTATTTTACTAACTATAACTACAACTACAAGTGGTTATTGCTTCGATTTATTATATTTCGAGAAAGAAAATCGAACCTATTGGGTTGATAAGGTATAACCGTACTTGTTGGAATGTATGTTAGTGATTATTGCTTAACCGTCAAACTAACCACTAATCATATCGATAATATACGGTTAACTGCTAAGGCTTATTGGTTCCATTATCAGTATGAGATTTTTTATATTGGTTAATTGCTAACCATCATATAGGTTAGTGGTTAACCGACACTGAATCGAGTAGCACCCTAGAGATGCAGTGGGTGGGATAAAAGTCATGGTTGGCGGTTGCCTACAGGCTACAGGCATGGCGCGAATAAAGTCCATTTTTATTTAAAAAATTATACAAAACTCCAGAAAATGACCGAAGTTGAAGACAGTTCAGAAACGGGAAAGAAAAAAACGTTAAAGCCTGTTTACTTTGATTTCTGTTTTCTGTTTTTGAGAAAATAAATGTTAAAAACAGGTGAAAACACCATTTTGTCATTTCCAAAAATAGCACAAAGAACATAATGAAAAGTTAATAATTTGTTTTGCCAAATTTATGACATGAAAACAGGATGTACTGCTACAGCCTTGTGGTTTTCTCTCTGGGGATCCGACGATCGATTCTCTGTCCCGCATTTCCGGTAACCTTTCTTCTGGTCGTTTATCCCTTCTCAGTTTTACTGTTAGGTGTACCATTTCCATCAAGGCTAGCAAAGAATATATCGCGCTATTTGTAGTTCTGGATCAGCGGTTATTCTCGGGAGGAATTAGGGTTGCGATTCATGATCCGTAGTTCAATTTCCGTCGATGTAGGTACTTGATTAGTGAACTACAAGAGACCAAAATCGTGGATAACCATAATTGGGTGAGTTAAAGCTATTAGTTAGTGAATTTGCCATCAATCAAGTTCATCTGTACCGTATGATCTATCTTGTTTCTACCCTTTTTACTTCTAGGATTTGGTTGTAGATATAGTGCAGTCTATTGTGGAGATCGTCTCATGTGGTGATAGTCAAGATCCACAGCTCTTTGAGTAGGGAATTCCAGCACAACATTCTTATGTTTTGTTTGCTTGGGCCATTTTTTTTTTGGCAAGAAGTAGCTGCTTGCATAATGCTTAAAGAGAGTTCTATGGCTAATTTTGCAGACGTTTTATGGAATATCAAGTCTTGGCAGAGTTTGTCAGGGTGTTAAGGATCTGTACAGATACAGGAATCCAAGCTCCATTCCTACAATATCTTAGCATATTCATACAGAACATAGAAAGTGAACATTGAATTTGTAAGTTGATATAGGAGCTTATTCATATGAATAGTAGCTCTTTATGTCATTCTGAGTACTTTATTGGATTTGAAAATGAAGGTTTTGAGTTTTAAGAACCTTTGGATTTATGATGGATTTGTTGCATCATGGATTTGGAAGAGTACATTGTTTGTTTAGTTGATTTTTTATCATGGATTTGTGATGGATTTGTCTCACATTTTTTCCTTCTATTGTCAAATCCCAAATGAAATGTGGGATTTACAAATCCGTGGGGTCCATGGATTTGGATCTAAAAAAGGGGTCCAAATCCGTGGACCCCACCGATTAGTGTCCCTCAACAAACAAAGGATTTGTGTCAACTCCATGATGCTTGGGATTTGGGTTCCAAATCCATCACCCAAATCCCACAAGCAAACGACCCCTAAGTTTCGTGTTTCTTGGCAACTATTACTTATATTTTATTTCAAGAATTCTTAATGGAATTAGTGGGGCCTAATGTGTCTTGATTCTTCTGATTCTGGAATGCAGACTACTGTTTCAGTAATGACCACATCAACAACATTATAGCACACCCGTTCAACTTTGGTTGCGGAGATCTAGATCCATATTATATTTCATTTTTAAGGTTGTGGATATGACATATCATTCCCTCACTTTTTATTAGTCGACAAGGGAATGCATGTGATGATTGATATATGCACAAATTCTTAATGCAGAGCAGTAAGCAGCAAAGTAAACATAGGCATTATTAGCATTCTTGTGAAGGTTCATGGGGTAAGTACATTTTGATGCATCAGTGGTCTATGTGTTGCACTGAGGATGCTGACGTTTGTAAACTTTCTTTCTGTTACAATAGAGACAACTGAGTTCGAGAATTCAGAAACCTTTCATAACTGAGCTAGTAGTTTCTCAACAGTACTCATTGTAACTCTGTTACTGTTTTGGAAGAACCTAAGAATCTTGGGCTAGTGTGTCTCTTCATAGTTCCATGTGATTACTTGGAAAATGCTAATTTGTGTATACATATTTTGAATGTACATATATAGTGCAACTTAGAAAAATGGGTGCTTCCTTGTTCATCCCAACTCATATATGTTTTTGCTTCTGTTGCCGTTTTCTCTATATCTTTCCTTACAATTATTGGTTATGTCGTTCTCTGGTTACAGGATACTGTAGTTTCCTTCCCGTTACGTTGTATAGTGCCGCTCTTAAATTTTCCCAGCGTAGTGAAAGGATGATTCAGGCAGCTGTACGCGCAATAACGCTGAACCTGTACAAAGGTACATCTTCGTAATTGCTTTTCACCCACAACAGGACAATACTAAGGTTGAACAGTGTGGTTGTTTGCTCTTGTAGTTAGTGATGACTTGGTTCTTCAGTTTTTGTCAACTCCTCCGGTCTCTGATTACTTCTCAAACTTGGTCTGGAGATTGAAAGAGCAATGCAGCCATCTTGATGGCCATGTTCATGCATTAAAGTTACTATGTTTCCCCCCTGAAACTAGTTAGATTTTATCTTTATGGAAGAGTACATTCATGATTCAGTAAAGTCCCAAGAGTCACTAGAAACTGTTGACTCTTTGATGCAGAGAACGGTTTACTGATCATGGATGGAAGGAGTTGCTTCTGGAAGCTGATAAAATTGTGGATGAGATTTACTACCTGAAGGATATTATCTCAGTGGGTGAATCTTGTCTAAGTGAAGCTGTTGCCTTGAGTCTTGTGAATTTTCTTATCTTTCCGATACTTGGTCGACTTCTCAAGACACAACAGAGTGATGTGAGCTGTCTTCTTCCCAATTTCTTCTGTAGTTACATTTACTCTTACTTTTCACAGGGCTAGACTATAAGCAAGGTAAAGGGTCTTTAGATATGAATATTTGTCAGATAACTCTGTGGTTCAGTATACTAAATTTATCTTGTTTCCTAATTTTCATACTTTTCGCGCTTATATTTCTTCTAGGATTCTTGTAGGAATTTGTGATACCTTGTGCGGATCATGTAGACATTCTTCAAAGAATATCTAAATGAGGTACTAGTCCTTTGTGTTACAATTTATCTGTAGTAACTTCCTAGTACGTAATTTCTCGTATTATTCAAGTAGTTGATGCAAGGGAGATCTCTCGTGTTGTGGCTGCAACCATTCTACATCCTTTTGTATCTACACCTACTTTAGATGCTAGTGGATTGTTTGTCAATAGCACCGGTTCAGAGTTGAAAGACCCTACAAGACTGATATTTCCTGGTCAATCAGGAGGTCTGGATAACATAAGTGGGAACCTTTATCATCGTTACTTCTCAGGCACCATTTCTCACTTTGATCCTGTTAGATGGCCAGTTGAGGATACTTTGATTCCGGAGAGGTTTGTTGATCTTTATGCATTCACTGTATCATTAATGTGAAACACTCTACTAGGACCTGATAGGCTTAGACAACTTATACAAAAAGTTTCTCTTTCGACCTTTCCTCTATGTTAGGTTTGATCCTTGATGTTCATTTGGTATTTCAGGGGACTAGTATTGTGTGGCTTTGATTTCTGAATTTTTCTCTTCAAGGCAGGGGATGGTAAGCACCAAGCGTGCTCTTCAATTTATAGTTTCTGAATACTTTTTCCTTATGCCTCCATATACAGATGAGATTGACTTCTTTCCAGTAATATGAGAAATAATTTTTTTTCTTAGAATCTTGTTTTAGACCGTCAAAAACTAAACATACTATAGGTTATCCAGAGTTCTATTCCTACTTTCCCAATCCCCACCATGATTAATTGATTTCATAAAATTATTGGTAAAGTGTATCTCTAAGGACACTTTAGATTATCAATTTATTGAGTAAGAGATTAACCATCAAAGAACCAATTTTCAGAATAATGACATCTTAGGTTGTCAACTTAGGACTGTCAGCATCACTGAAGAATTTATGAACAGTATCCCATAAAGGAGCGGCATGTTTCTTTTTGTTTAAATTCTGCAAGGCCTCGGTTTTGATAATCTAGTTTCAGTCTTGCAGCTCTGTGCATCTTTATTTTGGTGTAAGGGTACACTGCCACTGTTAACCTAATGTGGTTGGTGTAACATCCATTCTGAAGCTTTATAATAGTGTTCAGGGGTCTCATTACATCATTTGTTCTGCAGATGTTCAATGCATTGTTGAAAATTTTAACGAGTGAATCATCAATGCCAGCATTGGTGCAAGGTTATACAGGATGGTTCCTGCATAAGCTACTGATATCTCAAGGCAATGTACTCACAATCTTCAGCTATTCAAGGTAACTATTCGGGTTTCATGGAAGGATATTTTCTCGTATTAGAATGGTGACATTTCAAAGTAGATGAAATAGTGAACCATGTAGCTGTCCAGATATGTGAAATAGCTCCTTCACCATTTCATATTTTCCTCTTTTTCTGGAAACTCTCACATGCCTCACCATGTGAATCCATTTGCTATGTGAAATCTGACAGACATGAATTCCTTCAAGAGATGGCCTCTTCATCATGCAGGAGTTGTTCTTTATTCTTAGTTGACTACCAGAGTGATAAACTAAACTAGTACTTCCTTCGACGAGCTTATGTTTAGTCCTGTACTGGAAGATGCGTTTTATATAAATATGTTGATTTAGTTTTATATTTTCTAGTCCCAATTTCTTGAACTCAAGTGAGCGGAGTTGTGATCTTCTTCAAAAGGAACTCGATGGATGCTGGTATGACCATGTTCTTACTCTCAGAGGGTCGTGGAACAGTTGCACAGCACGTATGAGTTTATGCTATATGACTTTCAGTTGGATGCTTGAGCAAGAGTTGCCTTTTCTTTAAACATCATTGGCAGCCATTTTGTATGAATACCCCACAAGACATTTATTATTCTCAATACAACGTTCGATATGAAATTACATTAAGGGAATAATGTAATGTTTTCCCCCTCCTTTTGTGATGATTCTATAGCCCTTGAGGAATCATCTATATCCAGAGACCCGCTTTTCCTACTGAAGCTTGCTGTCTGTCAGCAAACTAACGGTATGATCAAGACACATTTATTTGTAAGCATGTAATTGAATCAAGCTAATTTTGTTTTCGCTGATTTGAGAGTTTCTTCTTCATTGTCGTGGAATGTGGACTGAAATGATTGCAGGTCGATTGCAAGGTGATTCCACCAGTTATGCTGCTTCAGCTTGGCAAAGAATGGTGGATGTTGCCAAGGTTTTTCTCTCTCTATAGCTCTTACCTACTACTACGCTGCCGGTTTGGTTTGTTTCGCTTAATCCAACCTTTAAGCATGAAAAACCAAAACTCGAAACTGTTAAGTCTACCAAAACCATAGACCGATAAGCCCTTATCGGTTTCGGTTGATACAAAGAGTACCCCCAATTTTCAGTTTTTGGTTTCTTATCCATTTCTCGGTTTAAACCAACCAAAACCGTTGGGTGAAAAATGGTTTGGGACAAAAGAACCGAAATCATTAAACTTCTTACCAGTTAGGTTTCTGTTTAAACCGAAACGGAACTGACACCCTTACCTACTGCATGGGGCCAAAGGTATTGCTATTGAAATGTTCTATGTTCACCATGCTACGGGCTGGACAAAATTGGCCACTTTCATAATTTTACATATGTTACTGAAATCATCGGTACAGGGGGCATGTCTGAGAAAACATTCCAAATACTCATAAATTTTGTTTGGTGCAGTCTTTCATTTTGCATGTTCAGCTGAAGGCCTTTATCAGCAACGGAAAGTTCATTGAGAACCCCTTGCCAGAAGAGTCCACAGCCAGTCCTCCGGTTGAACCTGCAATCTTTGGGTCAGATATTTCATTAGGTCGGTGACCAAAATGAACTTTCAGCTATCATGCAAATATAAATACCAGAAATACAAAGTATGCGTACCTTATTGAGACCATTGCAGGTTCAGGAATTCCTTGCCGTATCGCCTTTTCAGCTGTCGGAGTTCGTCATATATTCTTAATACCTTCAACAAAGGGGACTTCTGGGAAATTGCTTCTTGCAGAGAAACATCCCTTTCGCAGTCAACGTGGGAAAGTGATTGCCATTGCTCCATTGGCTGGATTAAGTGTAAGTTGGCAGTATCTTAACTCTGGCTTTCTACTGTATATGTATATATGTATATGACGAGCTCCAAACCTTTTCCTTCAAAACTACAACTGGCAAATGAGAACCCGATCCGTTGACCTGACCCGAACCCGCCCGAAAAATAGAGAATGGGTTGAGGTTTTTTTAACCCGAAATCGGAATGACCCGAAACCGATTAACCCATAGTTTTTGGGTCGGGTTGGGTTGGTTTTTGGGTCGACCCGCTAGACCCGTTCCATTGTATACGTCACTCTCAAAATGATAAAATCTCTCATTCTTTGGTGAGATGTTAAAAAAAATTCATATGGATTTGAAAGACAAGTTGGAAGTGTAAAGATAATCAAACATCATTTGTTTATTTTATTAGTATTATTTTCGTCATTGTTTTTTCACGATTTGTGCAATTTTTATTTCTTTTCATTAGCATGGAAAGAGTTGAGCATTTGTTAATTAACGTGTGCTAGGCAAACTATTGTCAGCCATATGTAAACAACTGTGTTCTTTAAAAATTTATAAAGCATATTTGATATTGTTTCTGAGAACGCTCATAACCCGAAATGACCCGAAACCCGATGGGTTGGGTCAATATTTGACCCGCAATAAGCAAACCCAACATGACCCGACCCGTGAAGATCCGTAACCCAAGATTACCCGACCCGATTGCCAGGTCTATTCAAAACAAGTTAGCAAATATAAACCCACCACTCTCTTCTTGGGCCTCATGGCCCCTTCTTCACCTATTTGATCTGTTGTGTACTGATGATGATGATATAGGCTTTTTGGGCCTTTCTTAATTTCTTGATTAATGCAGGCCCAGATGATTATAAAAATCCCACCAACGCAATCCAACCAATCCACTCAAAACATAAAGCCCAAACCCATTGGGCTGCTGGGTAAATCAGTTGGCAGGGTTTGTAAGGGATTATTATTTAGTGCATAAAGCCTTAAACATTTTATGTCTTAAGATTTGATACTCGAGTACCGAAAAGTATTAACACACTTTCACATACATAAGTATTGGTTTGTATATTTTAGTACCTATACTTTGCCGGATGTGACATGCTTCCACAAAACTTATTTATAATTATTCTGCCAAATCTAGTTCGGATTAACAAAATATGGCAATATTATACCCTTCTTTTAGCTATTAACGAACCCTTCTTTTAGCTATTAACGAACTACCCTATTCGGCATTTTACAATTTAATATGCCAAGTCATGAAACTTAACTCAACGACACTTAGACCCGGTGGATATCTTCAAAGAAGTTAGCAAACAAAGATCAGCAATCAGAAGCGCGCTTGCTCCTCTGCTTGATATCAAATGAAGACACGCGCGTATGAGTTTTTTCACGAGGTAGGCCCACTCTCGATTTTTTACTAGTTCCTTACTACGAGTGGTGTTTTGATTAGAGGGAGAGGCTCCTTCTTGGTGGCATATGTAACAACGGATGAAGCATACACTTTTTATATTGAATTGATATGAACTGATAGAACCATCTTCCAGGGATTGTTTTTTTCTCGTCCATTGAAATTAGAGGCTCGTCCCGCGAAATCACTAGCTTGGATGTTTCATGTTTGTGTTCCTGTGGAATGTTTGCTTAATTGACTGCTAGATCATTTCATTTAGATGCTGTATTTGAGTCACTATTGTACCTTAATGTCCATAGTTGGATAATGTCTGCCCTAGTGCATGCTCCCTGACGTGCAGAAACTGCACTGAATGGGAGCAGATGCGAGAGTGAGTGAATCTTTCTTCATTGCCTAGCAGCTTTTTTCTCAGAGCTAAAAGGAGAATAACAAGCAAAGCATCTTTAATTGCAATTAGTTTGTGAAAAGCAGCACAGTGGCTAATAAGCCAAGTGTTAATTAGCAGAAAGTAAATAGGGCAAACATTGGTGATAATATAGAATAAAAGGAAAGGTGCAACCTTTTGGGAAAAGAGTGTTTGTGGTACGTAATTCCCATCACCTTTTGCATTAGCAAAGCTAAGGCTGTCATGTCAAAATTGGAGCAACTTTTTCCTCCCTCCATGAAACACCTTCCTTCCCTCCTTTATAATAAAGCCTGGCCACCCAGCAAATATACACACATTACATTATTATTAAACACCTCATTCTAATCTGCCTTCCTATTATATATATTTTTTCATGACCATGAATTAATTAATATCCAAGTTACTGTTAGGTACCGTACCATGTATATATCTTATCAAATCCTGTAGTCACCATGTATATATCTTATAAAATATCAGGTTGTGGTATCTAAAATCTTCATAGGGTGAATTCAACTCCGTTTGAGCTACATTCTTGTGAGCTAGTTATTGGTTGTTTGGATGTGAATTTGAGAATGTGATATTTCAAATTGAATATCACATTGCAAATACCAGCAATTTGGTATGTGGTATATATCCAAAAAAAATATAATTATTGATTTTATATTTCTATTTAACTTTGAGGATATACAAGTCTACAGTTCATCCGTGTGGGTGTGGCAAAAGATAAATGCGAAGTTGAGAATTTCCAGAGGAGAAAAGCAAGGGTAATTTTTTATGTAAATAAAATTTGGAAGCATAAATTGGGCAATGACAAAAAGAAATAACCCAACATTTTCAACATACCAACCTAGCTATTTCACTCTACCACATTTCTAGATTTTTGAAAATATCATAGGTATTGTTTCAATTTTTACTTTTTCCCATCCAAATATGATATTTGTTTGACCAAATCCCAAAATTTCTGAGAATTTTTCTCAAGTCCTGCATTACAACAACACTTCCAAACGATAATGAATAATTATTTAGATTTATTGATACTGATAAAAGATGTAGGAAATGAATACAAGGAGAGAACTAAATCGACACCCCAAAGATATTGCATTACTTAGAATAAAATAAAAATCGAATTAAATGGTCTCGAAATATGGCCACCTTGTGAATTCCTCCAGTTCCTACCCATTAGCTTATAGCCAATACCTGATGTTGTAGTGTTTCTATAGACTAGAGGGAGTTTTTGCCTTTTTGGTATGTTTGTTGATCCTTCTTGCTGATGAATATATTTTTGCCTCTTCAAGCACCACATGGCCACGTATAACAACCCAAGATGCTCAATTTGAAGCTCAAAAGCAGAAAAATGAGCGGCACTTTTGAGTAGATAATGCCATATTTTGCTTTTAGTATTGCTTTTCTATACAAACACAGTGCTGCATTGCTTTACTTTAAGCCAAAAGAGAAAGGAGGGTAGAATGGAAGGAAAGAAAGTAAGAAGAAGGAAAAACAAAATGGAAAACCCATCACCAGAGCAAAGGTCTCAAAACGCATTGTGTTTTTTCAGGGCAAAAAGAAAAATAAAGGATTTGACAGTGAAAGAAGATAAAAGATATACATCACATTTCTCATAGACTGAAGTAGTAAGACATCAATTGAAACAATATATTTTCATCTTTAATTCTTGTTGTTTATTATTATGGAAAATATTCATCGAATACGACTAACAAATTCATAAACATGAAGTGTTTGTTCATTCTTATGAATTCATAAAATATTCATGAGACGGATAACCTCATATGTATATGACGAGTTCCCATATAAAAGATAAACATATAACCTTCCTCTCTCTTGCTTTCACTTTGCTTACACTCCTTTTTGTGCCCAAGGCCCCAAACACAGAGATTGATTTAGCACTCAACTAATTGGTTCTCTCTATATATCTCACCCTTTATGGATGGACGGCTTTTTGTTACAGTTATTCTGTGATTAAAAAAAAATGAAAGAATAACCGTTAGATAATGGTGAGAAAGGAGAGTGTACAGGAAAAAAGGTTTCTTAGTTAGGGTAGCTAGGGTGTGTTCAAAGCAACTTATTGATTCTCTACTTTCATTCAAACACTGCTGCTTTTCTAGCAATTTTAATTCTTTTGCCTGCAGGGGAATGGAATAATTCTTTGTTTGTTCAAAAATTATTTGGTGGCACCTTTGTATGTCTTTTTAGGCAAACAAAAGATACAAGCTTTTTGACTGGAACCACTAACTATATCACATCCACTGAAAGAATAAATCAGTTTGGGGAGGATTTTGGATTATATGTGTCATTACTAATAAGGCTTTTCTCTGGTGGTTTGTTTTGGGTCCTACTCATCATCTAGTACACATGAATTTCATACACCTATATTATTTGTTTCCCATTAATGAGAAAGCCTTTTGGTTTTAATGATGGGCCTTCAGATATTTGGATGGTCAAGATCAAGAGTTCAGATACTTAGGGATATTACAATAAACTCGTATTTTTGTTCCTTTAATTTCTTGCTTTTGAATCTTATCATGCATGATATAATGTCCTCACTTTAATCTATTGGTTTCTCTTCATGTTAGCTTGTGCCCTAGCTTAGTTGTCATTGTTCGATCTGCTCGCTAGCTCTTGCTCCTGCGCTTGTCACATGTTGTTCTATGTCTCTCTTCCTACTAATTTTTAGGTTTCTGGTGTTTTTGCTTCTTGTGGGTTTCTGGTCTACTTATATACAACATGGGAAGATGGATAGTGTTATCACTAAATTCGACAAGAAGAAATTTTCCTTTTGGAAATTCAGTTTCTAACCTTTATCCTAGTTACATGTCTCTTGTCGTTGTTGAATGGAACTTCTGAGTGTCTAGAAGTTGATGTGATCCAAATGAACTGACAAGGAGGCTAATGCGCCTATTTTGTCACCTATAACTTGGTCACTATGATTCCTCCGACGATATTGAGTTTTCTTGCATTTGATATAGTTGCAACTATGTGTAAGCATCTATGTACTACCTTCTCCCAGACCAAAGTTTGTTATCGATGCGAGCTTGAATATGAACTTTTCAATTTGGAACAGGGTGACCAAGGCATTCATTCTTTTATTAGGATGCTCTTAAACTCTATAGAAATTACAATATCCTATTAGCCTCTCCAACTAAGGGTGCTCTTACTCTTGAGATAGTTGCAAAGAGTGCTCGTTCGCGTGCTTTACAATTAAATATGAAGCTTTGCAAAGGATTTGAGTCTATCTGTGCCTCTTCAATCCACTGCAACATCACCACTATGAATGAGATTTATGAGGAACTAATCCCTGAAGAGACAAGGCTAAAATTTCTGACTAATATTGATTCTTAGGGTTCACTAACGGATAAGCCTTCTGCCTATGTTGCTACCATGTCTCGCCTTAAGTTGCAGTCTACTTCTCCTTTTGTGTGGTTTGTCATATTTGCAAGAAACCTAAACATGTCTATGCTCATTTCAAGAAGGATGATGTTTTTATATAAAAGGTTATGGTCATATAATCCTCAATTGCCACACGCTTGCTCGTCAGGGAC